ACTATTGGTTCTAGTTCTCTGAAGAACATGAAACCACCCATATTCATAGCAACATTATTCACAACAGAAAAATGGTGACAGTAAGCTAAATAGATGAATGGATAAGCAAAATGTATTATACGCATACAAAATAACATTGTTAAATTGTTTGTAATAAGAGTCTCTAAACTTATTCATAACCTCAAGCAACCTGTACAACAAACTAACTAAATGATCTTGAATAACTAGGACACTGAGATTATTAAACACCTTAAAACTTCCCATTCTTTATCTGATAGTGAAGTTCCTTGATGTGGTGAAACCCTAACCTTTGCAGCCTTTTTCCCCACCTCGTGATGCCCAAGACAAATACGATTTCCCCCAAATCAGTGTCTCCTTTGTCTACAAAGCACCTCTCAGGCCCCTGCTCCAACCCTAATTCCATCCCTCTGCCAGATCCTACCATGCAACACTCCCTTAAGGAGGCCTTCTCTGCCCTCCCAAAAGACAGATGTAATTCAACCCAGGGGCAGTTGACTTACTGCACTCTATTTCTCTTCTTCATTGAAATTAAACTTGCACTTTTATACTTATTTGTACACTTAGCTTACTAGTTTCTTCAAATCTTTCTACTATAAGCTCTGTAAGGAATGTAGTATAACATCAACCTGAACATGGATATGAGATAAACCACTTAAACACCCGGTGCACAACTCAGGGTAGAACATACCACTTGAGACAGAGAAATGAGTCAGATCTTTCTCTCTTCAAGCATAGCATTTAAGTATCTACTGCTTCTTGAAAAAATGCTATGTGCCGAACAATAGGCCCAAATTTCATTACGTAACAATGAAACACCAATGCCTAGAGATTACATGATCATTTTACCAATCTTCTTTACAGATAATTTCATTAATCACCATCTGTTCATGCGTGTAATTCTAAATAACATTCTGGTTACAACTGGGAAACACTTCTCACCATATACCTCATTTCTAGAATACAAGCTCACACTGAAGCACCTGGATTTCAGGAACACAAACCTGAAACTCACGCACTGAACCAAACTGTTATGTAAATGACAGAAACATGGTCTCTTCCAGTTCCAGACAACTTCTGCAAGAATGTGACTTTTACCACTAAAATACTGTCACTTGATTACAGTCATTCTGAGCCCATGATAAACACATTACAGAGAAAAAAAAAAAAAAAACCCAAAATAAAAACAATGCTCTAGTAATCTTTACAGAAGTTCAGTCCATGAAAAATATCACCAGTCTTGAATTTTCTAGATTCCTATCAGCTTATCTAGTGAAGGTATATTCCTCTTTTGGTGGTAATTATTCTGTATCAACACAATAAACTTAAGTGCGATCCAGAGGAAGTGAGGCAAATCTCTGCAGAGTAAGCTAATATTTTAGTAAAAATTATTCTCCTCATTTACATATTAATAAACATGAACTTCTGGGTTTTCTTTAAACACTGTTACTAATGTAAGGTCTCAAATTATATGTATCTAGTTATATTAAATAAGAATTGTTAATCAAAATGCTATATATGTAACAGCTACACTTAATAAGCAGATTACAACTATACAAAACAGAAATTAGTAGCCAAAAATCTGATGCTATTACTAGTCAACTAGAAAAAAGAAAAGGGGGCTGGAGAGATGACTCAGCAATTAAGAGCACTGACTGCTCTTGCAAAGGACCTGGATTCAATTCCCAGCACCCACACGGCAGCTAAGAACCATCTGTAACTGCAGTTCCAAAGGATCTGATGCCCTCTTCTAACCTCCACGAACACTGCATGATATGGGTGCACTTGCAGAGATGTAGACAATACACTCATACACATACAATAAAAATAACAATAATAATAATAATAATAAAGAAAAGGAAGACTGAACAATTTAAGAGGGAAATGGGGAAGACCAAGAAATAATCAATTAGTAGAAACTATAAACCCAAAATGTGTTTATTACACATCACACTTCTAAAATTTTGTTCAAATTCAAATCAGAACCAAAATGAAAAGGAAGAAACGATGTGTAAATCAATCTAGAGACAGTCCTCCTGTCTTTATCTTTTCTGTTTAAGGAGAAACTGCCCACCTGCCCCAACACAGGAAAGGGCTGGCAGGAAGCTGGGCTCTCAGAAGCTCCAGCTGGCAGGCAGCTCTAATGAAGCCAATTCTGAGAATTCTCTATGCTCCCCTTTCTAGCTGATGATAGAGTTTTATGAAAACTACTCGTTCTCTCAACACCAGTACATAAAGGATACTGAGTTCCCCAAGGTCAGTTCTACAAAGCAAGACCGTCTGCCCATATACACACACTCTCTCCATATACCACCCCCACACTGAATTCTTGTATATTTATGGTACCAAAGTAAGAGATATAAACTGACCTCAAAATTGTCCCCCCAAAAACCTCTTCTCATACAGCTACTATTCGAACTTATAATTCTTACATTCAGTAAGCAGAAGTATGATGCACTTTCCCTACAGGAGTTTAAAGTGTTTACAACCAAGAAATTACACTATCATTAAACACAGATACTAGAAACAAACAAGCTACCTACGTTCTAGGAGGTATAAACTCAAACTATTTAGAAACTTTTCTTTTGAAAATGTCTTCAGAAACTGTGGTATGTTTATTCAATTATATCCAAAAATAAAACGCTTTGCTAGGCTGTGAAAAATCTGACAGAAAGTTACCAAAGTGGCACATCTACAATGCAACCTCTACACATAGAACAAGGGATAAAGAGAACACTAATGCATCTTTCATTTCTCATCAATGAAGCTCCCTCATGCAACAGAGGGCCAGGAACACAAAAGGCCACAAATGTCCAAAATGCAGAGAATAAGAGTCTGCAGAGGTGTGGGTCCTTGGACAGGACTCCTATATTGAGGTCCACCCATCCAGTGTTCATGGACCATTGTGGAAGATGGGGCGGAAAGATTATAAGAGCCAGGGAGGAGGTGCATGACCATACAGAAATGTTACTACAGATACCTGGGACCCTCCTTTTTTTTCTTTTTTAATATTTTATTTATTATTTTTATTTTATGTGTATGTGTTTATTGCCTGCATGTAGGTAAGTGCATCCATGCTGTGCAATGCCCACAGAGGAACGAAGAGGCTGTCAGATCCTCTGAACTGGAGTTACGGACAGCTGTTAGCTGCCATGTGGGTGCTGGGATTCGAACCCGGGTCTTCTGCAAGAACAACCAGTGTTCTTAACTGCTGAGCCATCTCTCCAGTCCCTGCAACCATTCTTATACAAATCTACAATGGCAGTCAGCATGGTGCAATGGTGTCAGCATGCACAAGACCCATGCAAACTTAGGCAGACAAAAACCTAGCACATAACTGTGGAAATGAACAGCAAGCCCCAACCTTAGGCGAAGAATTATTGGCAGCTGATTACTTCTGGTGAGAAAGCTGATCTTCTTGAAGGGAGAGACTCTAGATAGGCTGACTAAACCCCGGTGGATGAACTTAAGGACATCTTGGGACACTAACTTTACATAATAGGCCTTAATACAAATGACAGAATGTATGACCTCTATGGGAGGGTGCCAAAGGGGGAGGAGGTCTAAAAATGATTTTATGTATGAAATACACAAATTTCAATTAAAAAAAAATACTCTTCATCCTTAAGCTGTGTTTACTTATTTTCAATTAGATGATTTATCTTCGCCTTTGAACACAGTTATCATGCTATATTACTAGATTAAACTTTATACTTGTGAAATTGTTTTCAATTCTTGTCATTAAATGATTATCCATTATGCTATGCTTTCTAAAATACTTCTTTTTCTTTTATAGTGCTGGCAATTGAACCCAAGACCTCATACATGCTAGGTGAGTATGCTAGCACTGACCTATACCCGTAGGCCCTCAAAATAAACCTAGTATTTGTTATATGCCAAGCATACTAGATTTCAGAGGTATTCAACAATGTACATTTAGTTTTATCCACGTAGGTAATACTGTAAGGCAGAGCTCTGGGCACACTGTCTGTGACACTAAGGACTTGCTATCTAAGAAACAGATACGGTTGATTCTCTTTAGTTGCCTGGTTGTATTCTATAAAGCTATTACAAACACTGACTAGCATACTGAGCCTCTGCTTCTAGAAGAAATAGGTGATACTTCTGTGAGCATGCTTCACATGTGTATCACCAACCAACACAAACCACACCTTATGTGTATTTCTTTCAAAAACAGCACAGTGCCTATAATCTATTTTGAACAACAAAAATCACCAAAAAAAAAAAAACAAACAGAAAAAAAAGACCATGAAAAGGATGCTTATTTATAATACAACAGTGTACTTATAAATAAGTACAACTTATAGCACAAAACAACAGTGTTGCTTTGTTCAATTTCAGCTGGGAGCACAGACATCAGGGAAATCAAACTTTTATGACTCTGCACCCCTATATAATACCAGCATTGAGCAGGCTGAGGTAGGAGAGTTATGAGTTCAAGCCAGCCTGGGTTGCCTCGGGCGACTATCTCAAAAAGTAGAAAAGAAAAAAAGATTTGGGAGCTGGAGATATAGCTCAGTTGCTAGAATATTCGCCTAGCATGCAGTCCTGGGTGTAGTCCCCAACATAAAACCAGGCACTCGGGAGGTAGAGGCAAAGGACTGAATACTCAAGACCAATCTTGGGAACAAAGCAAATTTGAGGCTAGCTTAGGCAACCTGAGACTCTGTCTCAACAAACAAAAAAGACTTCAAAAGTGACTCAAGTATTAACTTAGAAGTTACACATAAACTGTATTAAGTAAGTGAATCAAATAGAGATGATATAAATAATCAGAAACTACATGAGTCAAATATTTCAGTGAAACTTCTACCTTGACCACCACCAAAAGAGAGTTCAGAAAAGCCCCAATGCTAGCTGGTTCCCATGCACACCGAAGAGTTTTACTCTATGTAGTACTGTTAAGACAGAGCTTCTTAAAGAAGATGTGAGTGGGTTTTTTTCAAAGTGTTACTTCATACCTGATATATTCTAAAAGGGATATAACGAAATCCATTTTCTTCGGGAGGATATTCCATGAGCTTCCGATTAATGGCCCAAAACTGGTCAAATCTGTCTGAAATGATATAAACTCTGTTAGTAAGAATGAACCTTATAGTAGAATACTCATATGAAGACATGAAAGTCTTAAACATTTTCTTAGAAGTATCTGAAAAGTATTATTTATCTATTATCTCCCTTAATTTTACCTTTCCTTGGTGAAACAAAGATATAAAATTAATTTTTGCACATTTCTCCTTTCCTTATTCAGAGACATCCTCTCTAAACAGACAGGTGACTACTTCTGTAATGAGGGGCAAAGAGCGCCAGGAGGCGACAGATGTAATGACTCCTGGTCTGACTTCTGCTGCTGACCCACAAAGGAACAAACTTGTTACCTAAATATTAGCCAGAACTTACACAAAGAAACAAAAGCTTTTGAAAGAAATGTGGAGCCTGGGGCTAAGATAAAGTCTATATACCGCTTGCCTTGAAAGCAGAAGAATCCAAGTTAAAATTCCCCAGAACCTAAGTAAAAAGCCAGGCATGGCAATGCCTGCTTGCATTTCCAACAGGGAAGCAGGGACAGGTGGATCTCTGAGACTCGCTGGTCAGCCACCTAGCTTGATTGGCACACTCCAAGCCAACAAGGGACCTTTCCTTAAATGAAAGGTAGAGACTTTCCTGAGGAACACCTGACATCATCCTTTGGCCTCCAAATGTACACACACATATCCATACACACAGAGAGAGAAAAAATTTCTCGGGTTCAATTAAAACTACAAAGATAAATTACAGATCATAAAATCTATCATTTAAAAATATATAGTCTAGTCTTTTTCTAAATACATTCAGAAGTCAGAACATTTTATATGAACGATCACCTAACAAATGGTCTTTTGCATTCACCCCATTCTCCTGGCCCAACTTGGCATGATATTTTCAAAGTCCATTCTTGTAGCATAAAAACTCATTTGTTGGTAAGTTAACCAGGCTCCCCCAGTGGATGGACTCAAACTGATGGACACTTGGGAACACAAAATAGATTCCATGGGCCTTATTATATATATAAAAGAGTATATTACATTGGGTGAGGGCTATAAGGGGACATTTGAATAGGGGAGGTGACAAATACTATCAAATTATATTTCATGAAAACCACAAAAAACTCAATAAAAAGAATAAATAAGAACTACCATATGACCCATCTATACCACCCAGAGTCAAAGTCAGCTTACTATAGAGATATCTATATTTTTATTGCTCAACGATTCACAACAGTCAAGTTATGGAATCAGCTATGCCCATAAACAGATGAATAAAGAAAGTATACATATACATAATGGAGTTTTACTGACTCATAATGAAGTCATGCCATTTGTAGAAAATGGGTGGAGCTGGAGATCATCACTGTAAGTGAACTAAGTCAGTCTCAGGAAAGCAAGCATCACCTGCTTTCTCTCTTACCTGGACTCCAGGGAGATGGGGACGGTGTAAGAGTAAAAAGGGGATTTAGGGATTTAGAAAGGGAAAAGGTAGGGGGATTGGGTAAGAAAAGATAATGGAGGTAGTAAATATGACAAAATACGCATATACTGAAGGGTCATAATGAAGCCCATTCCTTTGTACAATTATTATACATAATAAAAAGCAATCTACTAAAAAACCCCTTCATTCGTTTTTATGACCAAATAATGGCATTTAGGGTATGGAGTGACAAGATTTTGTTAATCCAGCTTACAAACATTTGAGTTATTTCTATATTTTGGCTATCAGAAATAATGTTACTAAGAACTAGTATAAACACATATTTATGAACATATGTTTTCAATTCTCCTGGTAGGACCTAGGAGCAAAATTTCTCTGTTTTAGGACATATCTCTTTAACTGTCATATGGCAATGATGTTTTGAGGAACTGCCAACCTGTTTTCCAAAGTGACTGAACCATTTTCCATTCCCACTAGCAATGTATAAGAGTTCCAGCTCATGTATACCACTGCCAACACTAATTATTTTTTTACTTTTTGATAGTTATCTTAGTTGGTGTGAAGCAGTAACTCACTGTGGTTTTGATTTGCATTTCTCTAATGACTAATACTGTTTCTTCTCGTGTGTTTACTAGCAATTTGTGTATCTTCTTTAGAGAAATATCCAAATTTCTGGGTTTTCAAATTTTTTAAATTTATTATTATTGTATGTGATATATGAGTACAGGCATAGGTGTCATGGCATGCATTTGAAGGTCAGAGGACAACTTTAGGAAGCTTTCTCTGTTCCATCATGAGTTCCAGGGATGGAACTTGTATAACGGCACACTCCTGTAAACAAAACATTTGAGAGGGAAAGGCAGGAGGATCAAGAATTCAAGGCCAGCTTTGGCTATACAGTGTACGTGACGGCAACCTGGGCTACAGGAGACCTTGTCTCAAACAAAGAAACAAACAACCCCACAGGTAGAGCTGGGCATGGTGTCAAATACTTGTAATTCCAAGTAGTTAGGAGGGAAAGGCATGATGATCACTACAGGTTTGAAGCCACCCTGATCTACACAGCAGTTCCAGGGTAGTTAGTGTCATACAGCAACACACTGTGTCAAAAGCATGCACGCACACACACACACACACCACAAACCTTTATTAAAATAGATTTTTATGGATTCTCTTAGGGAGAGGGGGTGTGATGGGTAATCTTGGGTGTCAACTTGACTGGATCTGAGATTAACTGAAAGAGATCTTCTTGATTGGATCATCTAAAGCCGGGAGACACACCCTAAATGTGGGCATTACCCTCTGATGGAAGCCCATATAAAAGACCACGGCAGTGGAGAACGCGGGGCTTCTTGCTGCTTGCCTTCTCTCTCGCTGGTGAGTTCATCTTGCTGCTGTAGACTGAAGACTAGCTGATCTTTTGGAATTTGTCAGACCTTCAGCACCAGATTGAGACTACTGAGACATCCAGCCTTGTGGACTGAGCCACTACGGATTCTCAGCCTCTCCAGTGTGGTGCAGCCATTGTTGGACTACTCGGACTCTATCCTGTGAGGTAAACTGATAAATCTCTATACATATACATTCATTCTACCAGTTCTGTTTCTTTGGAGGACTCTGACTAATACATA